AGATGATGTATAAGAAATCCTGATGGGATAGGCTGTGAACAGTGTATAAAATAATCATCTTCTCTTTCAGCAGCTTATCCAGAGCTGGTTTTGTCCAGAATTTGTTTTTAATCCAGTGACAGTCTTATTCTTCAGAACCTAACTCCGCAGGAGCAATTCCAAAAGGCTATTTGTGACTGGGAGGAGCGCTCCAAGAATTGTGGTGTAATACTGCCATCTGCTGGATAAATGCAGAAACGGCATGATTTCTGAAGTGAAAAGTTACACATCCCTAGGTATAGAAGGACTAGGAATGTAGCTAGGGTGTCTATGAGCAGGCCCCCCTCCCGGGGATGGTCCCTCAGTGCACTCTCCAGCAAGCATTTTTGTTCCTTGATAGTTTCTGTATCTGTGTAATATAAGGCCTGGTTTATCAGTTTGAACATTGCAAAGGATGAGAAAAGCATCCAATGATTTCCAAGCAGAGTCTACAACAGATTTAGGGACCCACGAGAATTCTTCTGTATACAAAATCATACGGTTTGGATTTATCCTGTTTTAGTATAGCCATGAATTCCTGCTGCAGGGTTGGAGTAACATGTAATTTCTACTGATTTTCTTTCTTTTTTAAAAAAAAGATTTATTTATTTTTATTAGTCAAATTTACGGAGAGAAGAAGAGACAGAAATATCTTCCAGCTCTGTTTCACTCCCCAAGTTGCCACAATGGCCAGACCTGTGCCTGTCTGAAGCCAGGAGCCAGGAGCTTCCCCTGGGTCTCCCACAAGAGTACAGGGTCCTAAGGCCTTGGGCTATCCTCCACTGTCCTCCCAGGCCATGGGCAGGGAGCTGGATGGTCAGTGGATACTGATGCCCATATAGGATCCTGGTACTTGCAAGGTGAATATTTAGCTATCACGCCAAGCACTTTTCCTTCTTCTTAAGTCAAACTTATTGAATGGCTTTAGCTGTAAATGTTGCAATTATTTTCCCTCTTCAAAGTTTATTAAACCTAAAGCTAAGTCCCGTTTTTAAATGCCATTTTCTGTCTCCCAAATGGCACCTGGCATCTCATGGGTACAAAGCAAACAGTTATACAATGACCAGCCAATTCCATGAATGAAAGATGACTTGGACATCACATCATATTTTTCTAACTGCCACAATATCCTAATTAGCATTCTTGAGAGACAGAGGGATCTTGCATCTACTGGTTTAATTCCTAAATGGCTGCAAAGGATGGAGTGGCCCCCCACCCCCCGAAGCCAGGAGCTTCTTCCGGGTCTCTTACATAGGTGCAAGGGCTTAGGAACTTGGACCACCCTATGTTGCCAACGCAGGCAGTTAGCAGGGAGCTGGAATGGAAGGGAAACAGCTGGAGCTCCTGTGGGATTTGGAACCCATATGGGACGCCGGTGCTGTAGGCAGAGGCTTAGCCTTGTGTAACACAGCACTGCTCCTTAGGTAGTAGTTCTAAAATGATAGAATATGATCATGGCCAGCCTTTTCTAGGGGAAATAGAATCAAACTTATCAAATTAATCATGATTTAGTTGGGACAAATGTGTACACATTCATATTGTGAGTGTTTATTAAGGAGCCATTAACAATGACTGATTCTCAACTGAGTATTTCGTGAAGTCTACTTCCGTCCCCTCATAGTGAGAACAGACACTCCTCATTTGGCACAGCGGAAATCACTGATCTTGGCATCCTGCTTGAGGGACATCTCTGGTATCTCTTTAGCTCTCAACAGTATATACAGAGAGGTATGCAGAGGATGGGAGAGCAATGTTGATCTAGATTCAGTGAGCATTGTAGTAAGTGAGTCCATTAGTTTGCACTAATGACAACTCTGAAGCACGGGAAGCTGACTTTATTACTTCATCTCCCTGTGGACATCTGAAACTAATCTTCTTTTCCCCCTCTACCTATGGGACAAAGAACAGGAAACAAAACACCAGCCTGGATTCTCAGAATCATAGTCTTATCTTGTCTGTGTGGTGTTAGTGTGAGCTTCAGCTCCCTGAGTTTTCTATTTGATTGCGCATGAGTTCACAAATATTGACACGAGTACATGGAATTTCATGACAGTATTCTTCTACTTCTGTGTATGCTTAAGGTTTTGCACAATAAAAAAGTAATAAACTCAAATTATGAAAAAGTATGAATTCTACAGGATGGTGTTTGGTACAGCAGTTAAATTGGTACCTGGGAATCTGCATCCCATATCAGAGTCCCTGGGCCAAGTTCTAGTTCCTTTGCTTCTGATCCAGCTTCCTGCTAATGTGCACCTAGGAGACAGCAGGTGATGGCGCAGAAGCTTGGGGTCCTGCCACCCACACAGATCAAATGGTGTACTGGGCTCCTTATTTGGTCCTGGCCCAGCCTTGGCTATTGTAGGCACTTGGATAAGAAGCCAGTAGACATGGCAGTCTGTTTCTGTTTCATTGTCTTCTTACCTTTCAAATAAAATAAAACAAATGACTTTTTTGTGAAGTGTGGATTCTGGAGCCACTCTGCACCTGGTTCTCTCTCTTACTCTGACCTTGTAACCTTTCCTTCATAATAATTTCCAGTTTGTAAATATATTGTATTAGGTGAGCTAATGTCAGCACTTAAAATATTGTCCCTGACACATAGTAAGAGCTTGGTTGCCAAAGTTTGAATAGGCAGTTCGAAAAGTTACCAGAAAAGTAGAAAAACTACAGATAGTGAACTAAGGACAAACTAAGGTAGAAAGATGGGAAGGCAGAGGGGAACATGCAGTGAGCATTTTAAAGACTGTAACATCTAAAAGGGCTTGGCATGTGCGATTTATATCTTTTATTCCTCTCCCACTGTGCCGATCTCTCTCTCTCTTCTCCTTTCCTCCTTCCCTCCCTCACGTGCACACTATATCTTTTTTTTGGAGAGTAGAAGAGACTCCAATCTCTTTTTATGTGGAGTTTCAGAAAGTGTACAACAGTTTCCAATGTCCTGGAAGAGGCTGGAGGGCTGAATCTTGTGGAGACTTGGGCTCATTCCGCTGTTGATGTGGGATGATCTATCTATCTATGTATGTATCTATCTATCTATTCATTCATCCACTGGACTATGAGGGCAGACAGTAAATTTACAGCCTGTTGCAGCAAAGATGAAAATGCTTGTGGGAAGATGAGTGACTTGTGAAAGCCAAGGCATAAATGCCAGGGCCTAGGTAGGAGGTTGCCAATATCCTACCCAGGAGCACCTCCTTATCAAGGTAGACTCGGAAAGAAATACATTTGGCCACAGAGAAATGGACTATTCTGAAAATTTTCTAAGTATTTAACTCCAAACCACAAAGGTTTCATTGTATTCACAAATGTGATAAACTTCCCCAAGTATCTCTGCTGATTTTACATGTGAGACCTCCAAACTCCTTTCGCCCTTACATAGGGTAGCAAGGAGGGTTATGTTCTACACGTTCCATTGCTTACTTGTGCCTGTGGAGCAGAGAGACTAAGGGCCATTGGTTTGGGCAAAGTGTGTCAGTGTACGGAGTGTGGGTGGCAGGTGTGGGTGCAGTGCTTCTGGCCCTGATTCCTTTATCCCACGTCAGAGTACCTGGTTTCAAGTCCTGGCTCTAATCCCAATTCCAACTTCCTGCTAAGGAGCAGATAGCAGGTGGCTCAAGAATTGGGTCCTTGTCACATACGTGGAAAGTCTGGAAATACTTCCTGGATATTGTTTGTGGCCTAGCCCTGCCTCATCCCTGGCTGGCATTTGGGAAGTAAATCTGTGAGGGAGAGATCTTTCTGTCAATGAAACAATAAATTATTTTTTAAACACCTGAGATTGGTCCTGGATTATATACTAGTTTCCTAAGACTGCAACAATAAAGTTAGTGGCTTAAAAGAACTTAGTGGCTTAAAAGAACATTTTTTTTCGCTCATGGTTCTGAAAGCCTAGAAGTGTGAAACTGAAGGTGCTGGTAATGGCATGGTTGTTTTCTCTCACAGGTTCTGGTTATTACCAACAATCCTTGGCAGCCCTTAGCTTGCAGCTCGCACAGCTCCAGTCTCTGCCTCAGTTGTTAAGTAGGATCCTCCTCTTAATGTGTCTCTATGTTTTGATTCTGTCTTTCCAACATGTCCTCTTCTTATAAGACACCATAAATGGTGGACTAGACCCACCCCACTCTAACAAGACCTCACCTTAATCACATCTCTAATTATATTTCAAATAATGTCACTAGTTAACATTCTTGGAGTTAGGGCCACCACATATTTAGACAGCACAATTCAACACATAAGATATGAGAACTAAAAAAATTTTTACAAGGATATAAGAAGTTTATTTACTAGTCTGAGAATACTTGGGGACCATAGGTCAAAATTATCCATGTTACACTTTCTCTCAATCTTAAAATTCTAGTTTGCACAGTTGGCAATGAGGAACATTAAATCCTATTCAGTGAATTTTGGTGGCTAAGAATATGGTTTCTAGTTTCAAAGTTTCTATGAGGGTCCACTAGTTAACAGGCAGTCTTGGGCAAACATGCTTGTCTAGGTCTTTGCTTCCACATTTGTCAAATTGCAGCAGTGATAGTCCTATCTCATAGAATTGTAAGAGTTAAAGAATCTCAGAAAAGAAAGTGCCCTTAGTACTTGGCAAATGGTGCTTTCTAGAGAATGTAAACTGTTATGATCAATTTAGAGACTGTGCCCTGGATATGTCATTCCATTTCTGCCCAGGGAATTACCCAGAGTATAAACACGTGTCAACAGAAGGAAGAAACTCTCAAAAACCTGCCTGTGAAGCAGAGGTTGTCATTCTAGGCACTTCAAAAATGCTCTAGACAGAATCCTGTCATCTGGGGACTACGTCCCTCAGAACGCAGTCTGTGGGGCCAGGCCCACTAAGACAATAACTTAACGGTAACCTGTGTTACTGTGTTGTGTTGATTGACAGAACAGAATTTGCCCTGTCTTTTTTGAAGGATAGGTACTGCACCGTTAGCAATTAATCCACATAAACAGCCACCCAGAAATTCCCTGAGCAGAATTCTTGCAGTTTGCCACTCTTTGAAGCTATAATAGAAGCCAGAGTTCTTCCAAGGCCTCTCCAATCTGTCTTCCTTGTCTGTTCTCCTGTTTCCTGCTCTTGCAGTTCTCATCATTCCTGGCCTGCTTTAGCCATGGAGACCTTGAACTTCTTCCCTGCAGGGAGAGAAACATAGCTGGTTCCTTGGCTTCTCCAAGTTTTCTCCAGTTCTATGTTCACCCCACCCTTCCAGCCTATCCCTCCTTCTTGTCTCTAGTTCTACTCATTATCAACATCTTCTAATTTATATATATCATCTGTTTAATTCATTTGGCTTATTTGTCCTCCATAACAACAGGCATTCCAGGTGGTTAGGCTAGGTGCCTGTACTTAATGTTGCTGTTTGTCAAATGATTATCAGTGAGCTTAGTACTCATCAGTTCAGTTGCAAGGCCTTGCCTGCAGTGAAGGCCTCTGTAGCACCACACTCTGAGACGTTGACTCTGAAGCTTTAACTCAGTAGACACATTTCACACAACTCTCTCAGCAGGAGAGATCACGCATCACTAGCTCTGTTTCCTGAGCTGCTAGCTCAGTCATGGCATCATCAAATGAGCTACTTTATGCAAGGTCAGAAGGCAGTGTAAAGCAACAATTTCAGTATTGTTGTAAACAAAGCCAAAGTCTTTTTGATTTTGTATTTTTATAGAGTAAGTGCTTAAAATTTCTAGTCCTCATTTTTTTTTAAGAAAATTGGCATGACATTGTCACTTTACCTTTTATCATTGACAATATTTTGGTAAGACCTTAACTTTCTCCTAAAATTGATTTTCTTTTAGAGATGGGACCATAAAGGCTTTTCCAGTTTCCTGTATTTTCCTTAATAAATACATATTACTTTCAAAGGAGAAATAATCAGCAACAGTTTTTGTTATATTTCCGCTGTTTACCTAACATTTTCTTGTTTGGAAGGCAGAGACAGAGAAACTGGATTACCCCTTCTGCTGGTTTATTCGCCAAATGCTCACGCCTGCTGGAATTGGACTGGGAGTTGGCACTTCAATGCAGTTAACACCTCCTCCTTTGAGAATCTATTAAGTAAGGAAGACCCTTATTTTAGATAGACATGCTCTAAAAGTTAATATTTAAACGAATTTTTCAATGCAATTTTTCTTGCATATTAAATTTATTTATACAGAATCCATAAAGGATAGTGCCTTTTTTTTTTAAATGTTGATTTATTTATTGAAAAGATAGTCAGAGAAAGAGGGAGAGAGATCTTCTATCTGCTGGTTTACTCCCCAAATGGCTTCAACAGCTGGGACTGGACCAGGCTGAAACCAGGAACACAGAACTTCATCTGAGTTTCCCATGTGGGTGGCAGGATCCCAGGCATTTAGGTCATCTTTCGCTGCTGTCCCAGTCACATTATCAGGGTGCTGGATCAGAAGTGTAGTAGCCGGGACTTAAGCTAGCCCCCATATGGTATGCTAGTGTTACAGGCACTGGTTTAATCCAACACACCACAACACTAGTCCCAAGATGAGTTTTTAAAGGAGGCAGCCAGATTACAATCTATCAAATCAGGAATTTTTACTCAGATTAGAACCCCACATCCCCTCCCTGAAGGATGAGACTTTATGCATCTGGTAAATCTATAATGATCATGGAAATCTAGGGATCCTTTCTGCCTGGATGTGTGAAGGATCCCAGTAGTGAATTTAAAGAGCAATGAGGAGACCTGGAGAAGCAGCAGGCATAACAAGAGGTCAAGGTACTTGTAAGGTGTCTGCCTTGCTAGTGTGGGTGATGGTTCTAGCCTCTGGGGAGGAAAAAGGAATCCTTTCAATCCTTCTGAAAGTTTCTGGGGCCCAAAGAAGATGCTTTCTCAGCCCTCTGGAAGAGAGGATATTTTCATGGTGTCAAGGGAAGATGCCAGGCAACTAACAAATTCTAGACTCTGCTTACAGGGCTTTCATTTTGCTTCACCGTAATAGCTTCAGAGACAACATGACACCTCTTACCAATGGGTGGGTGTTCAATACATTTTGATGAACCAATATCTGCAGAAGGGTTATACCAGTACCACCGACATCAGAAGCGTTTGCAAACTGCATGGTGCCACTGCTGGTGACTAAAAGTTTTGGACGAGAAGGACATTCATAATTGTACCAGTTGGAAGCCCCAGCTACAGAAATGCCATTTTCTTAGTTATTGTGATGGTGCTAAACCTGAAGCTACAGTAACCTAGGAAATCACCTTTTATGTAAATATTTAAATACAATACTTATCACCATAAAGTTATTTGGTGGAAAGATGCCACATTTTATAACATACATTATAGTACCTGTCACATAGCAGACCTATACAAATTCATGTCCAGATTTCAGCAAATGCAATCTATTGATACAAATTTTTTGGAATCTCCAATGTCCACAAAACTAGAGTATTCCTTTAATTAGGTTAAAATACCCAGAGAAATTAACTCTATTTCATTTATGGGGCAATCTGTCCTACTCCTCTGTAGGGATTAGGAGTGTCTGTGAGAGACAGAGTGTGTGTTTTGGGGATCTGGCTATGGGTAAATGTTTTTAAGCTTTTGAACTTCTTTCCCTTATGTGATGACCACCTTCTGACGGTATTTTTCTAAACAAAACTTTTCTTTAGGATGAATCTTGTCACGGTAACTCTTGTCAAGAGCGTTGTCCTAAAAAACCCCAAGAAAGCTGTTTCTTTAAACTCCTGACACCATAATAATCCATATATAAAATCGTTTAATGGTTATTTGTGTGAATAGATTTATATAGACAGAAAACAATTCCACTTTTTTCTTTGCCAAGCAGTCAATCAGAACACAAGACCAGTACATTAGGCAGACACCCTGATGACACGGCTGCGCCTTCTTTGACTAGCACATGGACATCATCTTTAGAATCTATCTGGAACTGCAGCATAACAACCAAAGATGTTAATGTCTTCAAGCATTCAGGTACTCTCTGTGCACGGGTGGGGCACAGAGGTGGAAGGAACTTCCTTCATTCCAAGGCTCTGAGCGCCTACTCTGAGCGCCTACCTGCAGTAGATGACACTTGACGATTTCAAAGTTCCAGTGGATGACTCTTGAGAATGCTTGTCATCAAGTGGGATGAAACCCTAACATCTTAAGAACATTAATATTAGCTCATCAGTAAATACAAGTTAGGAAGAACTCGGCAGGAAGGAACCAGGCAACTCTATCCCTGGTTTACTATGGCCATTGCTCCCTTCTCTCCACCTTGAGTAGCGCTTCATACAAATCTGAACTCTTACTCACATTAAAATGTACATGAATGATAGTTTACTTATTTCTAGAGGCATTTACACTTTGAGGTTTGAAGATCAATTAAGATCAATTCAGAGGGAAAGACAACCAGTAGAATTTCCAGTAAATGTCAACTGTCAGAGTGGTTAGAGTGAGAGCAATTTCCTTCTTGCAATTCCTAATTAGTCCTCTCTAAACTATCTAGGCTCATTCTTTACTAATATGTTTATTTCCATGAAAACACTTTAAAAAGAATATTTAATTCCTCAAAAGTCTGATTACTTAAGCACACCAGGATTTCCCGTGTTGATATATTTCTAATGATACACGTGTATTTTTTGTTCAGATTTATATTATTTATGCTAAAATCAGAGTTACATAGGGAAAGAAAGAGACAGAGAAGGACAGAGAGATCTTTGATCAGCTGGTTTTCTCCTGAAATGGCAGCAATGGCTGGGGCTGTCACACTGAAGACAGGAGTCTGCAGCTTCCTCTGGATCTCTCATGTAAGTGCAAGGGCCAAAGCACCTGAGCCATCTACCAACTGCTCTTCAAGGCACATTAACAGGCAGTGGGATCAGAAGTGGAGCAGCTGGGACTCAAACCGGTATGCACATCGGATGCTGGCACTGCATGCAGAGGTTTTACCCTCAATGCCAAAGTGCTGGCCCCTATGCTATACTATTTTGAAAGCATGTTATGGTCCCCTACCTTAATGCTTCACTTCTCAAATATCTCTTACAAAAGTGTTTTTAAAAATAATTTCAAATTGTTTCAGTGCCAAGTTGCATACATAAAAATAAAAATTATATAACAATTAACTCCAAGTTTAGTGCCTCTTTCATCTCTTATCGTGCCATAGGCCATTAGTATATGTAGACTAGCATTGGTCTGTGGACATATTTGAGGTTCACTGCTCTACTTCCTGTTCTTTCAAAAAAAATCTATTTGGCTTGAAAACCTAAGTCTACCAATACCACCACAGAGCTTGAGTCACATCCTCCTCACTTCTCTTCAGTTCACTCCCTTTTAAAAGACTAATCTTTCAATTATAAAAATTTCAAATACTTTCAGTTTCCATCTTCACTGCCCCTCCACTTGCAGTGCATTTGCACAACATCCCCACTGCCTTGTTCAGTTCCACCCAGTTCAGTTTGCTAATTTGATTTACTGTGAGTTTGGCTACGAGACACTAGAGTAGCGCAGAAGTTCACATACTTGAGGATTAACAAGAGAAATGCACTTGAAAAACAATGTAGTTCACAAGACACATGCTTTCTTGATCTAAAGATTATATGATAGATTGAGTTGAAATGTTCCTCCCCACCCCCTTTTTTGACAGTCTTGACTGATACGCGAATCTAGCTTTCTGAAATTTCTTGCATTCACTGGCCTATCAGCAATGAATTATTTTCTTACCTCAATAACTCAGAGCAGAAAAATCCCACATGCACATACATTGAGTGAAGTGTTAATACATTTCCATTTATAAGGCACAAAACTCACAAACCTCTCACAGAAAGCTAAGAAACAAAAATTTGAAGTGAGAAATTGTAACCTAGCAACTGATTAAATTCATTGAAATGGAGTTAAACCACTTTCCTCTTTAGCAAGTAGGGAACCTTATCCCGATAGGACAGTTGCAGTCTCAGGACTCTTTCCAGCCATCCCTGACAGTCTCCTTGACTGGATTAGTGCAGAAGTCACTCCTCAGAGAGCGCCGTGCGGCAGGACCACGGACGGCGAGCACCTCCCATCTCACAGAAGATGCTGAGCAGCAACTTTCCAATCAGAGCATTTCAGCTATAGGATACCTGGTCCACACAGTCTCACCCAAAGGAGACTCCAGGGACCACTTCACAGTGAACACACGTGCTTGATGATTCCCAGCGTTCAGGACTACGTGCCTGAGGTCCCTCAACTGGGTCTTTACATGGTTTCTTCATAGAGCAGCGTTGTGTGGGAAGTTGGACAATGGGTTCCTCTTGAAATAAGCAGACCCCCAGGGCTTTAGGACCAATTTACCAAAGACTTCTTAAACATGCCAATCTAATCTGAAGAAAATTCCCCTGAACAACTCCCAGATACCTGTTCTGTAAGGCAGCCCTAATGTCGCTCAGGCAGCCCTGTAGCCCACAGGCAGGAAGCAGCAGAGTGCCACGACACCCAACAGTATTCGTGCTCCTGGGCTGGGCTTCCTGGTGGTTCTTGGCACTGTGTTTTCTAGTACTGTGTACGTTAGTATTATATGAGAACAAGCTTCCTGATTCCCCACATGGCTCCATGCATTTCCTGAAATTATAACTGATTCATAATCTTTGATGCTACCATGCAAAGAAAATGTGGTGTGAACAGCACTTTAGACAAAGCAGGCAGACAGCTGTTATCCTGAGAAAAGAATCACCGTTACAGTGGACAGGAGAGGAGGGGGCCAGGAATCAGATGAAATGCAGGTTGCATTGAGTCTAACGGTTTTACCTTCATCTTCAAGATTCTGTTTTCCACCCTAGGCAATCTGAAAGCCAAATGAAAAAAAGATTCTTGGGACAATTTCACTGACAAAAACACTGCCATAGTAGGATGGCCATTGCAACATAATGAGGAACTGCCACCTACTTACTTTCCAGTCCAATTTTATCACGTGCTCAGCCTTATGCCTTGCCTCTGGAAACAATATTCAAGATTCTCCAAAAATTTCAGGCATGAAGATGGTTCTCCTTAAATCAGTGTCCCATTCATCTTGGCTAAGATCATCTCCCTTCTTTGTAAGGCTGTAACCCAGAAAAAAACAATATTCCTTTTATTCATGACTGCAAAGCTCTTGACTGCTTCTGCCTTCAAATCATGGAGCCATGGAATATCCTTGGAAACACTCATTGTGTTAAAAGCCAATTGTTAAAAAATAAAAAGTCCATTTCTACTGTTGGATAAAGTTTTCTCCAAATCTCCAGGGGGCCTCCTCCACACTTTGCCCTGCCTGCATGCTTCAGGTCTCTTTCTTGGTCAGTCTGGTCTTGACTTTATGCCTCAGGAGGGCTGCGGTGGCAGCACTGCAGGCTGCCAGGAAGAAAAAGGAGAGACAGGCCGTGTAGACAGACAGAGGCCCGTGGCGTTGCAGGAAGATCTCCTGCCGCCCCTGGTAATCCAGGAGGATGGCCTCCAGCTGGGAGAGTGTGCAGATGGACAGAAATGCATGAAAGATCTGGTGCCCATGGCCCACGATGTCACAGGCACCCGGAAAATACTTCTCAGGTACCGGGCAGGAAAAGAAGTAGGCGCTGATCAGAAAGAAGAGGATCTGGAGGGTGTGGTACCAGGCTGCTTGTTCCTGGCAGCCGGCTAGGTGGCAAAGGGCCACCCGATGCGCCACAGGGCTGATGTCTAGGACGAAAGCCAGCCCTGCCGGCACCACCTGGCAGATCTTCCTCATGACAGGATAAGGCCGCCGGTAACGGTACTTGGCATAGCAACAGCCCGCACAAGATAACCAGCCACAAAAGGCAGCCGCAGGGAGGAAGAAAAGCCAGAATCGCTCGTACCAGGCCTGGTCGGAGCTGTAGAAGAAGTGGGCCAAGGCGCTGCCATACTGGTACACGCTCACACCAACGTAGTCCACAAAATAGAAGGTGTAGTGTGAGAGTTCCGACTTGGACTGCAGCAGGTGGGCCAGCAAGCTGCAGGTGAGGTAAGTGATTGAGGACAGGAAGAAGAGGAGCAGGGGCAGGGAGTGGGGAGAGGTCCATGGCAAGGCCTCGGCCTCAGTGAAGGCCCAGAAGCGCAAGAGGACAGCCAGGGCCGCCAGCAAGTGGGTCCAGACGTTGACCACCTCGTTGTGTTTCTGAAAGAGGCTGAAAAAATAGTAGCGCCACTCGTGTCCCGTCGGCCGGTATCCAGCACGGATGTAAGGCTCACGGAAGAGCTGAGGCACGTCTGTCTCTGGCACGGTGCAAGGCATCTTGGGAAGCCCATCTTCCAAGATCTTGGGCAGGCGGCGCAGCTGCTGCCCGCTCACAGACAGGGTGCTCAGGCGCTCCAGGATGGCGGTGGTCATTGCGGCGACCTGGGGGAACTGCCTTCCACACTGCACCGAAGGATGGAAGTGCGACCTGAAGAAAAGACAGGAAAATCGGCAAAGCCACAGTGAGGTGCAGGCCTAGCTATGAAGGCAAGGGAACTGCAGCTTTTTTCTTATTGTATGGGAGTGTGGTTTTGTAGTGCTGTGCAGAAAGGAGGGGACTGCAGACAACCAGAGCCCCTTTTCATCTGTGGAATGATGATCCCTTACTGCCCCCAATATTTGTGTCTGACAGTCAGGATGCCCATGTCGCATCACAGTGGTTTCCATTTCCAGCTCTGGCTGATGCAGACTTTAGGAGCGAGCAGTGATGGCTCAAGTCATTAAGCTCCTGCCACCCACCAAAATCAAGTACCCAACTCCTGGCTTCAGATTTGGCCCAGCCCTGGCCATTGTGGACATTTGGCTAGTGGGCCCTCAGACAGAAGCTGTGTCTTATCTGTCTGCCTCTCAAAATAATCTTGCTTTTAAAAGCTACTTAGAAATGTGTAGACAATGGGATGCTGGATTGTCTGACATTGTACCAGCAACATCGGGGTACACTTAAGTAAGAGACTGATAGAATTGATAGAGTCCTTATGAAGGACTACACCATTGTAGTAAAATGGGGAGCATCTGTCAGGGGTGGGAGTTTGGCGGGGAATTCCAGTCTATACGAAATCGGTTTTTTAAAATTATTATTATATTTTTGACAATCTTTACATAGTTAATTGGGGGTAAAAAGGTTCAAGGGCTATAGGAAAGTGGGTAAGACTATTATTAAAGGGGGGTATTAAGGGAGAAGGCCCACCCAATTTCCCACCCTCCCCAGGTCCCGCATGTAGGGTATGCTCCGAGGTTCTTGCTCAAGTGGTTTTGATAGTTCACCAGTTATAAATTGCTGCCAATCTTGCCACTCCAAGCACTATGAGGTCTTTGAAGAATCCACTAATTGACATAGTACATCTTAGAGTCTCCGTTTGCCCCGTATTTCATTGCCAAGATATAGCTGAGATGGTTGATTGACCTGTTCTGTCTTCTCTCTTTTCTTGGTTAGGGTTCTGAGTCCAGCATTTCGATTAGGAAAATGTCCAAAGAAACTTTGTCTGAGGTGTTCTCAGACCAGATTCTTGTATGTACTAGCAGGTACAGGGCCCGGCTCAGTCCATGGCCCATGGTTGCGATCGCTGGGTTGATTCTGTTTTCAGCCCCGACTTCCACTGGAGCCAAACGGTGTTGCAGTCCAGCCTGGTTCTGCCCAGCACATTCTCACCCTTGCATAAACAAGTGGGAGCTGCAGCCTAGTTGGAGCGACCCACAGTAACCCCCACCAGGTCCCCTACCCTGGTTTGCCAGTATGTGTAGCAGTAGTCCAGTCTGTCCCACACTCCATTCCACCCTAGTCCCTGTCCTGGTTTTTGAACCCTCCCGTAGAAGTGGTAACCCAAGAGGGATGAGGCCACTATTTCCCTCCCAGGCCTCTCCCACTCCCAGATTATGCACTCTCCAGGTAGTTCTATGGTTTGACTTGACAGAACTAATACCCAGTGCCAGCTTCCGCCAGCTGATGCTGTGGCTAAGCCCAAACAACCCTCACCCACTCTAATTTTGTTTGCACCAGTAGAAATAATCAGCCCAGCTTGGCTTTTCCCTGATTTAGTCCACATGAGGCATACAGGTGTTGTAGCCCTGCTTAGTCTGGTCTGCCCCCATCCTAGCTCATGCTCTCCAGTGGGAGTAGCTGTCCAGCAAAGGAACCCTCCCTTATTCTCCTGCTGGCTCCGCCCCCTCCCTTCCTGGTTCTCAAGTGTGCTGGCTGGGTGCTGAGGTCACTTCTGGCACAGGCAACCTCACCTTGGCATTCCATATTGTGCACTAGTTTTTGTTGCATCCGAACCCGGCTTGATCCACACTGTTCTGGTGCCTGGATTTGCTAGTGGATGATGTGAACAGATTTAGCCTGGTCTTCCCCAGATCCATGCCCCCATACCCATGCCATGGGTAACTTTTCATGGCCTGTTCTGGGCTGTTTCCTATCATGTTTCTTGCGCTTACCTGCCGGGTCTGTGTCGTGCCAGAGGAGTTGCCCAGGCTCCTCCATCAGAACCTCTCCCAATGCCAGATTTTGCACATACCAGTGGGTCCATGAGCCAGCCCTACTCAGTTTACCTCCTGTCTTAGCAGGAACAGTGGCTTTTCCTGACTGGCCTTCAACCAAACTGTCCTTGCTGTTGGATGTTTCAGCCCTGTCATGGCTCAGTAAGGGTTGAGACTTTGCCTAGTCCATCCCACATCTACCCTGGTCCACCAGGACACCAGAGGATGTTGGAGTCTGGCCCAGCTTGGTGCATCCAATCCCAGTCCACATTTGTGCCAAGGGAGACTACCACCGTTTCCTGTTCAGAATGTAGCCCCTATTCCAGGCCACACGCCCCTTGGTGGGAACCTCAAGCCAACTAGGGTTGTCCCCTTAGCGGGAGCCGCAACCCAGCTAGGGTTGTTCCCTTAGCTCCCCAACCGGGCCTGTTCCCAAGCACAGATCTCGTGCATGCCAGTGGTTGTTCTGACTCAGCTTGGCTCAGTCCCTCACCTGTCCCGACCTCTGCCTTAGACACTGTGGCTTAGTGTTCCTGGTTCATGTAGGCCAGTAGGTCCAAGAGCCTAGCTTGGCATGACCTGTGCTCCGTCCTAGTCTCTAGTTTTGCTTGCGGGCTAAGGTTTGCTCAGTCCTGCCCAGTCCACCCTGTTCCATTACCAATTGACACATTAGCCAGCTGCTGGAGCTAATTTGCCCAGCTTGTCCGACCCCGAGGATTGGACCACATGTTCAAGGGAGTTTCCCAAGTTCCTCCACTTAATCCACTCCCAGACCCAGTTCTCATACATGCCATTGGGTATAGGCCAGGTTCCGGTGAAATCTGGCCTTCCATTTGGCCTTATATGAGCTGGTGAATGTTGTAGCCCGGCCCACCCCACACCTTATTCAGGTTACAAATTTGGGTGCTGCTGCCCTGACTAGTCCAGACTATTCCTTTACCTGTGATTGATGACAGGCTTCTTGGCCACACCTAGCTTAGTGCATCACTACCCCATCTCTTGAGCTAACCATTGGGGCTTGAATTTCCACAGGGTTTGGCCCACACATCCCTCACAGAATCTGCCCCTGGTTATGGTACTAGTGCTAGTTAATGTAATGGCCCTGCCTGAGGTGACCCTTCTCCTGATCCATCATCATGTCAGGTAACAGGATATGATTCTGCTGCACAAGCCCTGAGCCATAGCTATTGCATGAACTGGTATTTGATGGTTAGCACTGTTCAGTGATTACAAGTTTTTCAAAGGAAGAGTTACTGTCATTGGGGATCTTTACGATTGCTTCACATTCTAGAAGCACAGTGGATTCAACTTGGAGCTACCTAAGCAGCAATTCAAAGAACCAAAACCCTAGAGCTCCACGGCCGGGTGGCCAGCAGGCGGAGCCTGGCACCAAATGGCGTGCTGGCTGCCTGGGGACAGCTCACCAGGTGCACATGGTGGCTGTCGTCTGGGATCCAGGCATGAGACGCGCTGTCCTGAGACCCACCAGCAGCCTGGAGGCTGCTGGAAGTTTAAACTCCCAGTCTATATGAAATTGTACCACATAATTCAAAAATTCAAAATAAAAATACATAAAATTAAAAAGAAAAAAAAAAGAAGAAGAAAAAAGGGGAGAAAAAAAGAGAAAAGCAAAAAGCTACACAGTGGTTCCACTTCCACTCTTAACCAGCAGAGGGATCTGAGTGCCTGGGAGGTAGTGGATGAACTGTAGGTTTGTGCCAGGGACATGGGATGATTTTTCAAGTTGTCCTGTTGCTGTTAGCAACGAATAATGGAGTTGGGGGGGGGGGGCAGATGGAGAGGGCTGCGTTTGTTGGAGCTATGGGGAATGAAAGGGTTCTATTTTTTTAGATACAGGTTTCTATCTCCCATTCAGCAGGTAAAGAAATCGGATGAAATCACCAGTTGGAGTTTATGGTTGGGTGAAACTAAGGTGAATCACTGCAGAAATAAAACTACAGAAGAAAGAGGCTCCATCTGTGTGCTAACAGAAGGGTATTTCTGTATCAATTTTGGACACAAACTATTTTTAAAATTATTCTTATTTATTTAAAAGGCAGACACAAAAAAAGACAGCTATTGTTCATCCACTGGTTCACTCCTCAAATGCCTGCAATCATTGGGGCTGGACCAGGCCAAAGCAAACACTCTGAAACAGCCTGGGTTGGTGTCCCATGTGGGTGTCAGAGACCCAAGTACTAGAGCCATCACTTGGTTCCATCCCAGGGTGTGCATTAGTAGGAAGCTTTAATTGGAAGTGGAGCCAAGGCTCAAACCCAAGAACTTACACATGGAATTCAAGCATCATAAGCAGTACCTCAACCAATATATGAAATACTAGCCCCCAAATGTTAGCCCCAATCTAAGAAAATTGGGCATCCAGAGATAAATAGTATAAATAGTTTAAGGGACCGTTAAAAATTAAGAGAGAATGCTATTATGAAGAAATTATGTATGGATCTGAAACTTTTCTTGTACCAAATCTGACTAAGATTCCAATCTCATCTTCTACAAACTTTTGAAATCCCTTGGCATATAGCTGCACAATTCCTATTTATCTTCCTACCCTTTAAAATAGGGTGTCTGTCATACAGCTGGATCTTATAAAAGAACAACTCAGTTGAATTTCTAAAGATTGAACTGAGGAGGCAAAGGCAAGGGAAAGGACTGAGCATATGCTGTGCTGGGAGTGAATTCATTTCTGACTCAGTGAACTGCAGCAATGTGGCATTCTACAGATTCCACCCAAGACAGGTCTGGGTAGCCCTCACATCTGATGGCCAGCAGATCAAGAACTGTAGTAGTGGTATGTCAGGCGCCATTTTGTACACTGTGGCAATAGCTTTAGGACTTCAGGGGACAATAGTGAACTGTGCATGTGCTGAGCTCACAAAAACTCTCTGAGTTTAGTGGATTGCACTGGTCCCGCAGGAAAATAATACCGACTGTGGCATC